CTGATGGATTTCTATCTTTGGAGTTTCATGAAAGATCAAGTCTATCAGCCACATACCAAATGTTGATGAACTTAAGGCTAGAATCAATGCTGCTAAGACACAAGTCACCCCAGAAATACTACAGAAAGTGTGGGAGGAGCTAGAGTTTTGGTAGGATGTTTGCTGAATAACCTTTGGTGGCCATACTGAAAGTTTGTAGCCATGAAATACTTGAAGTGTTCCTCTTTAATTTGTCATACTGTGCTCCTTCATTTTTGCAAATAAAATAAATTACAAACTGTTAAAGATGTAAAGCAACTTTATAATAACCCTGCACTTTAATTTTAGTAAGTTATTGTACAGGCATATGCCTTCCTAAAGATATCTATAAAGACACATTCTATACTAATGGTACTTACAAACAATGCCATAGGTGCCTTCACCAATCCTGTTCAGTTTCTCAAATTCAGAAACAAAGCGACACCGTCCCAACTGAAAAAAAAGTTCTAAGATAGGAATTGTTCATAACATGGAGGTTTTACAGTTACAAAAATTAAATTCATTACAACTAGTTAGATCTGCCAGCAACTGCCCTTTCATTTAAAAATAACATAAAAGTGGGAACAACTCATATGCCTGTATACCTCTATAGAAATTATTAAAATGCCCAATGTGACAATAATGACCACCAAAACCCACATACACAGTGAAAAAACATGTGGGCTGTGACAGCTGTTAGTCAAACAAAGAAGACAGTAGTTCTATCATCAGTAATGCAAACCATATGGCAAAACATTCCTTAAGAGCATTACCATGTCAATAGTTATAACTTTTGCGTAACACATACACACTCTTTTCTTATTAGGTGTTTTCACAACCTAGTATGAGTTAAGAACAATTTATGGGACCATCCATGTCTGTCTGCCTGTCAGTTATGTTTTCCCTGAGAGATAAGCAACCTGCATGGCTTCCATGGGGGGGGACCAAATCCAGCAGGCTGCGCTCAGGATGTCCTCTCCCAACCAGGAGCCTCCAACCCAGCTGACTGGCAAGCCATTACAAGAGTTTGTGGTAGCCCTCAAGCAGTTGGTACACTGGGACCATGTAGGACTACCCATGGACTTCATACAGAGGGAGGCTGCCCATGTATTTATTGGTGGACTGAGTATCCAAGAAGTGAAGAATCACCTCCTCATGTGTGGTGGCAGGTCGCTTAATGAGGCCCTCAACCAGACACTGAATTTAGAGGCACCAAAAGCAGCAGTTGCAACACAATCGAGGATGACAATGGGACTAGTGACTAGAGTTCTCACGCGAATGCTTCGGCCTCCTGCTGAGCACTACAGCAATGGAAGATCTGTATAATGACAGTGTTGAATTTCCGGTCACCTCAGCAGAGACTGTCAACCGACACCTGGCAAGCAGGTCATGAATAACCACACAGCTCCAAGAAAGGAAGAGATGGCTGACCAAAACATGGGGCAGACCCCAAAGGATGTGGAGGCTGGACAATGTCCTGAATGGAAGAACACTGCTGACCATAGCCCAGTGGTAAATAGTAGTAATGGAAGATGGCATGCTACAGTGCCACTTGTAGTCAGCTGATGGAAGAACCAAAAACAGCCCAAATAGTGATTCCTCAGAGCAATGTGAAAGATGTGCTGGCACAGCTACATGGAGGATCAATGGGAGGACACACTGGGATCAACAAGACACTTGATAAAGACACAGTGGTTCTACTGTGTGAGATGTGCATGGCAGGAAAAGTCACCCTATATAATTCCTCTTGATTTCCAGCATTGTCACTTCAGCCCTGAAGTTGGAGACAGTACGCTTTTCCAAGATGTTGGTATCTATTGACAATCCACATGGCACCAGAATCCAGAAGAACATCATCATCAGTACTACCACCTATAATCAAGGAGCAACATCGATAGACAATACCAGCAGTGTGACACCTGCGCAGGGAGCCGAGGTCCCAGAACTAAGAGCACCAAGGATAACCATCGACATCACAGGACCTTTCCCAGAGATCAAGAAACGGAAACAATACCTCCTGATTGCCATGGACTACTTCGCCAATTCGTCAGATATATATGCCATTCTTAAGCAGAGGCATTGACAGTGTCAAATGCCCTGGTGACCAACATCTTCTGTAATTTTGGTACTCCAAGAGAGCTGCCAGTGACCAGGGCAGGAATTTCAAATCTCAGCAAATGTAAGAGGTGTGGCAGCACCTGAGAATAAGCAAGATATAGATTACCCCATTGCACCTGCAGTCAAATGGCATGGTGGAATAGTGTGAAAAGACAGCTCAGGAATATCTGAGGAAGGTCATTTTGGCATCCCGGAGATATTGGGATGAGAGACAACCCATCTTCTTGCCCCAAATTTGAAACTAATTTGTACTCTCAATAATCAGTTTTGAGAAAAAAGTAAACCAGATGAGAATAAATAAAACAATAATTGAAACATACGTTCATTCATTTCAATTATGATAATGGAAAATACATAAACTCAGATAGCAATTCACACCAGTTTTTTCCAAGAACAAAATGATATGTAGCTAAGAGTTCATGAGTAAATCTTATATAGAAAAACATGTGATTTTCCTTCTTTACATTGTGTGTGATCTATTGTTATGTCTAAGTGGACAATACTTAAGCTAATGATTGTGTCGTATGTGCATGTTACGGTATACTTTAATGTCAGCTAAAAGCCTATAGAATGCAAAGGTGTAAAGAGGCTGTTTATTCTGGTATGGATTATATAATCCAGGTCTTCATTTCTTACATCAGGATTTCTAGTTGTTGACAAGAAGAAATATAATTAATATTAGGGTATGGCCAGGCAGAGCAGTGAGCAAGCAAACAACAACAACAACAAAAAAGACACCACGTTTTGTTAAGTGACCACACTGATGTGAACACATAAGAAACTAGTGAATGTGTGATGTCACTTTGCAATGAAACCTGTTCTATTTTCTAAGTGATGTTGCTCAATTTGTGGTACTGCTCTATGCAAGCACAGGAGCAGTAATAAGCCACAAGGCGGAATGCTGTTGCCGTCAAAACATATTACAATCGGTAAAACACGTCATTACTATTATATGATAAGTGGTGAAAAGTAATAAGGAAGTTTTAATTTCTGAAGTACAATCAAGACAGTACCAATAAGAATTATGAGATTACCCACAAAGATTTCTTAATCGATTAACTGAGTGAATACAACATCTCTTTTTCTTTAATACCAAATAATATTCTGTTTACAAATTTTCTAACAGCAGAGCAAAGTGAAATTATCTTTAATGGCACCTTATCATGGATGGATCAGTTATACTGTAGCTTGCCAGTCTGGTCAGGCTGTCACTTGTCACTTGCTCTTGAACTGACTGTACCTTAAATCAAAAGGTGATTAAAAAGCACATACAATATCTTGTTCTGGAATATCCATTGGTTTCCCACTTAATAATGATGTTAGAACTCCTCGTCTGGTGACAGGAGCTGAAGGATCTGGCCCTGCTTCATGCGCTCCTTCTTCTGACCGCTTGTCTATGATGAAAGAGAGAGAGGCATTAACAGTGGGATGACATTGAAGTATGTGGTTCTGGCTTAATGGCCAGGATTTTGCTTTTAGGCATATGAAGAATGTACTGTTTCTAACAGTTTACCAATTCTACCTTGCAAGAGAAAATTATAAAAATGTTAAGTGTGTAGAGGAGAGTTTATTCAGAATTTGTTGTTTAGTTTCATCATTCTACATGCAAAAACAAAGACAGCACACTTTTTCTCCCAACTGTGGCCATACTTGGGGGATTTTGGAATTTAAATTTGGGTCATGAAGGAGGAACTATCAATCAAATGCTTGGTACTTAAAAGCCTGAAGTAGACTGTTAAATTGACTGTATGTAATCCTTTCTTGCCTAAATTTAGAGCCCTAATGAAATTAAACAAATATTTCACAAAATGATCCACATGGTGCTGTTAAAAAAATCAAATAAAGAGAAATGTTGTCAAAACATATATGCACAACATAAACAGACAGACACCAAGAAGTGATGAGATTACCTTGTTATTACATGGGGGACAATCACTGCCCTTGCACCAGATCAACTCCATTCAAGATACAAGTAATAACACTGACAATGCTACATTGCAGATTCACATGATACCCTACACCAATGGTTTTGAGATTATTTTCTTCCCTGGCCACTTGCAAATTACTGTGGGTCTTGAAGGAACACTTAATGACTTTCTGCCAATTGTTAAACAACTGCAATGCAGTGTGCTATATGTGACAACAGAGAAGTTAGTACTGCAATCAATTTATTCCAGAAGTGTCCTGGCACCTTTTAAATATTTTTATTAACTGTTTCATGTGTTTTGCTAATCCCAATAATTCCATAAACCATCTGAATGTAGCTCACTATTCACTGGTGGTCCACAGATCACACCTTGGAAACATCAGCTCTAAACAAAAATATGATAAAAATTCACTTTATTACAGGTTTCCACACCACACTCTGCTCACAGCATATAAAACAGAGGTAAAGGCAAAGCTGTCACTGTTGGTGCACGAATAGGACTGGAAATTAATCTGCCACATATTCAAAACTCATGAACCAGATATTAGTGCTCTATGGACATATCATTCACACAACTTCTAACACTTTTCATGTATGCAAACATTTCTAGAAACATCTGAACTAAGATAAGTAAGTCTAGCAACTAAAGGGTCATAGCTCCATGACAACACAGATACCAGATCGTAACGCAAAATCAAGATGAAACGTACAATGAAATTATAAATGGATGTTTGCAGTTCAGTAATCAGCTCTATAAGTCATCACCAAAATGTATCAAACCATACACAAAATTCCATTTTCAAGTGTTTATAGAAATTCCTGGTGAGGGAGGGGGAAGTACCTTTCTTAAGCCCAATCCTTTATGAACTACTTATACCACCCCCCAAATTAATTAATTTTAAGCAACCTGGACAAAACACATTATCAGCTGACAATGATGCAACACAGTGTTTCAAAGATTGAGAATGTTAAGCAAGTGCCTTTCTACCAATAATGGGCCATGGCTACAGGCAAATTCTCCAGTTTACATCAGGACCATTGTTTGGCAAGACAAAGTATAACAAGTATATCTAAGATTCTTTCAGTTCACTGGTAACAGACAATTATAACCTATATGAGATGTGGCAGTAAACCTCTAAAAATCCTAAGAGAAATAAATTCCAGTATCCTTTACACAGGAGACAGGAGGTTTCACTGTCATACAAAACGTGAAAAAAATCCCTGCCACCTCAGAGAATTGAATCCCAGCAATGCAGCCCATAACCATTCAATGTTATTGACTGGGTTGAATTTTCAGTCTGAAGCAGACTCATGTTAATGGCATGTAGCTTAAGTATAACACATGAGTCAAAAACTCATGCAGACTCATGTTAATGGCATATAGCTTAAGCATAACATATGAGTCAAAAACTCTTATTAACTATCCTCCAATATTTTTTTGTAAGTCAAACCTCGTGTTTTTTAAAATATTCACATTTATACTAAGGAACTTCGAATGTTTTAATTCAAATTCCCGAAGTTCATTTCTAGGCTAATAAATAGATATAGGTTATGTCTACATTGTAAATTACATCATAAATATTAAACATTAAATTTGCATTCTTCGCGTTATGTATACATTACTTCTA